TACCGGCAATGGTGGAATGCCGCCAGCGATTCCACTTGTTCCGCTTAGCAGTTTCTCAACGGACGTGGGACCAGCGCCATAGGCGGACGCCGCCGCGTTCATCGATTGTATGGCATGACTGCTAAAACTCGACGAGATGCCGCCAATGGAGTTGGGCACCAGCGCTGATATGGATGAGAGGCCCATGCCACCACCGCCACCTGGACCACCGCCGCCACTACCACCACCACTGCCGACACTGCTGCCACCACCTCCACCAACACCGCTACTACCACCACCACCTGCCAGAGCGGCTGACATGGCGCCAGCGCCATTCGGCAATGTGGAGGTAAGCGATGAAGGTAAACCACCAGCACCGGTGGTGGCTGCGGTACCATAGCTGCTGGTGAGCGCCGAACTACCGACGGCGGTGCCGCTTGTGCCACCCAACACTGCTCGCTTATATCGATTCAGTTCTTCTTCTAGTTCTGCAAGAACGTAAGAGTCAACTTTAAGTTGTGTATTTGCTTTTAGTCTATGGGGGAATAGTACGGTAAATCTTTTTACTTTACCATTTTTTGATATGGTTTTAAATTCGCTATTTGCGGTATTCAATATGGAACTTGTTGGCATCGATGACATGGCTGATGTACGTGGCTGCTCCAACTCGGCCAACACACGATTATCCTGCAACAAAAGACAAACAAGAATTTAATTTTACGGTTTAAAACTGAGATTACATATACGTAAATAAGTTTTATTTTTATAATTTTTTTTTTTTACGCGAAAAGTCACAAAGGAAAATTGTGGTACAGCTTCTTCGAAGATACAATTGGGCTAGGTCGCCTAAAGGAAGTTTAGATGGCAGTCCCGCGACGCTTATATCGTCCAATGTATTCGTAACTTCGCTAGGGAAAACGCTAGGTGCTCAAAACGAAGATTCGCAGGCAGCGAATATTTTGCCCAGAGTTTGTTGGAAGTATTGATGAAATACAATATGAGATGTATGAACTTCGCCAAAAAGCTCCGGCATGGATGCCAATTTGACACTACCTGGTCGAGCCTCTTGTCAGAATCATGAGTTATTGCTGAAGAAGCCGGACTATCCCCAGAAAGATTTTGTAACTTTGCCTATCGCGGTTTTTTTTTTCAAAAGCTGGTTGAGCCGAATAAAAATCAGTAGTCTTCCACAGCTCCAGTACCTCACGCGCTCCCTGCTCAGCCAATTCATCAGTCTTTTAGTTTCCTGCAATGTCAATATGCTCTGGAACCCAAATTTTCCTTATTTGGAAGTAACCCTAGGTGACCGACATTGCCCGACCACTCTCGATCGCACCATACTTCTTAAGCTCTTATGATCGATTAGCAGTCAGATTAGATACATAGATGTCATTCCAATCGGTTCTACACTGATACGCAGCCAGTCGACTGCTCTCGTTAAGCAGCCACCTCTGCTTGAAATACGCTGCAGAAATCTGGAAGGCCAAACTTGAGATTAGCGGAGAGATCCTGACAGAATAAACCTCCTCTAATTCTGCCACTGGATCTTTGTACCAGGGGCTGCTACTCTTCCATTTACAACTATAAATCTAATTGGAGCCAACTTCGACACGCACCGACTCGTTCCTTTAAGTACGAAACCAAGGATTCCAAATGTACATAAATAAAATTATGAAATTTGGAACTAATCTCCGTTACAATGCATCAACTTTTCATCTAGACGTAAAAATCTACCAACAATAACTAGCAAAAATTACTCGAAAAATTACCCTAAGATTGTTCGAGCCGAAATTTACCAGAAATATTAGCTTTTTATTTCTTAGAAATTGACAAATAAAATAACTTGTGTTTTTTTTTATTTTTCCAGATTATCTTTGGATCTACCGGTATTTTTAACCGACTTCAAAAAAAGGATGAGGTTATCAGTTCGTCGGAATATTTTTTCCTATTTTTATGTATGTTACCGCATAACTTTGGACCACGTCAACCGATTTCGATAATACTAATCCTATTAAAGGAAGATATTCAATGACCGGGCAAATATATATTTTTAAAATAATATGAGCAGGATGTATTTGATTTTTAAGAGGCTTCAATTAGCGGCCCAGGGGCGATCTAGGCGCTCAGTTATTATTTATTAAAGTGTATGGTCTTTCAATTCGATGATGTAAATATTTGCTCACCTGTTCGATTTTCGCCATAATGATATCGATTTCAGAGCCTTGGTCGTGATGACTGATTGTCGGTGCCCAAGTGACAGTGGAACTAGTGCCCGATGTAGCGGCAGCTGAAGAAGCGCTCGCGCTTGAAGCTGTAATGCCGCCATAGTTGCTACGATCGCTGCCACCAGAACGCGCAGCCTTCGCCTTCAACGCGGAAGTCAATTCAATTTGCAATTCCTCGCAGCGTACATTTTCTAAGGCGACCTAAACATTTGGCATGGAAAAGTAAATACGATTAGCTTATCTTAAAAACAAAAAAACAAAAAGCACAAAATGAAATATCCTTAAAATCCATGTGCATCAAATAGTTTTAAGAAATAATTCCATCTAAACTGCGGTGGTTGACACCTGTGCCACAACAAAAGTTTTTAATTAAATACACCTTCCACTCACTTTTTTCTCGAGTTCACGCGCGCGCGACTGCAAATTCTCGACAGCTTCCGTGTCCGGGCGACTGCTGCTCGACAAATTGCGTATTTGTGCCAATGTTTCCTGTGCACCGAAAACCGAGGATAAAAAGTTTATTAAAGACATAAATTTAATCAAATATGTAATTTATTTATTCTTGTGGTGCTCGACGCTATCGTTGTTATTGTTATTGTTGTTGTTGTTGTTGGTTATAGTGCAATATTACCTGGTGTGCGCGCTCAATTTCGGT